CGAAGTAAAAATTTTACACACACAAATTGTTAAAGACAAATTTGAATTAATACTAAATTTTTTAAAGGTGAGGTTCACATATAAAACAATGAAACTCTTTATTAGATTAAAAAGGGGATAGACCCTATTTTCTGTACCGATTTGGTGACAGATCATGACATGAAATAACACTATTTGTGTATTTATATATGTATATATATATATATTTTTTTTGCCTGTCCCGTTTGGCTCTTTTGCCATCAGAATTGTTGTCTAAAGGCAAAGAAAGATGCCCAACGGATTTACTTTACCAAATTGACCATCCCAGCCTTGCCATAATGGTCCATTTGATTCACCTTTTATTGTTTATTTTATTTTCACTTACTGAATATGGGACAGACTTGACTGGGGGAAAGAAGGGGAGAAAGAAAGAGGGAAAGAGAAACAGCTGAGAAGAGGGACGGGGGAGAAGGGCAAAAACCAAAAACCAACAGAATGAGCAGAAAAAGAAAAAAAAATGCATATATCAGTCACCTGGGTCACCTGCTGAGAAAGAAAAAAGAAAACAAGCAGAAGAGAACAAGAGTAATAGAATAAACAACATCACAATGATATATGGGAATATGACAGTAAATACTAAATATTAAACATTATTGTGCAGCACATAAGATCAACAGAACACAGTGTGCTTTGAGGTAGGAGCCAAAAAGGGTGTAGTTTGTGGGTGTGATCACCCGTGTGTACACCTGTGAGCATGGACGCGCTTGTTTTTTTTTTTTTAAAAGGTTCCTTCATGTAATGATCTGCTAGAGGGTGTGGGGGGGCCACAGCCCCGTCCTCCAGGGCATGAAGCAGGTATGGAGGAGATCAAAACTCCAGACATCCAGAGGCCCCCAGAACACAAGAGACCAAGGAAGACCAACAGAGGGGCAGCCGCGCCACTGTCCCAGAAAGAGCTGAGGAGAGTCCCAGATGAGGGCTCACTCAGCAGCCGCGGAGCAGAAGCCAGGGGGAGTTGCAGTGACGCGCCCGTGAGCTCCGCCGGCAGCCAGCTGTGCCTGAGTGACCGAGCCCCAGGCCGAGAGGCCGGGGGCACCCCACCTCCGAAGTGGCCCGAGCAAGCCCCAGGCTCCAGGCCCCGATAAGCGGCCGCCAAGGAGTGAGCCGGTGTGTACCTGGACGCCCACCCCCGGACACAAAGAACCACCAACGCACCGATGTCTGAGGGAGTCCGCCACTGGCAGGGGAAGTGGTGGTAGGGGGAGATAGGCCTCCATACCTTGGAGGGCCTAAGATGTCCCCAGAGAGGTGGCGCCTGACACCCAACCTGACATATAGACACAGAAATACAGGCACACACATATACAAACATCCATTCCCACCCTCATGCTCTCATATGCACTTACTCCACACTCAACCAACGTGGAGACAGACATAAAGAGACGCTGTACACACGATCACACTCCCCAAGCGTACTCTACCCGGGTCTAGGTACCCTTGCCCCTGGAGGGGGGAACTGCACCCAGACCCAGGTGGTGTTACCCTTTTCCCTGCGGTGGGGGGAGGCAGACCGCCCCGACTCCGCAGCAGCAGGGAGGCCCCACACTCCAGACCGCAGTCGGACGGCCAACTCCTCCTCCTAGCCCCCCGCTCCAGCAGGTCGCAGAGAATGGGGGTGAGAGAAGACTCCATGGAGGGCATGGAGCTACCTGCCAGAGAGCAGCAGGTAAGCGCATGGTCCCTCCTGTTGGCCCTCAATGTCTACGTGTATTTAACATTGAGAGGTGGGCAACGACGCCAGGGGTGGGGTGTACACCCTGATGGTACTTTGGGTTCCGTGTATCGTGCCCACCCCCAAGATCCTATATGTATGTGTAATGAGAGTGTGAGTAATGTGAATGTCTAAGTTGTGGGATAAAATTGAGGCAGAGGCAGCCAGAAGGGGACGGGGGGTGGCCTCCTCTGCACCCTGGTGACATACCCCTACTCCAAGGTCCTTAGTAATTTGGGGTTTTAAGAGTAAGAAACTGTACCACACTTGGTGGTGTTTGTAATTCGACTGGGTTTAAATTTCTTTTTTACTATGGATTTAATTTGTTGATATTCTAAAAATCTTTTCTTGTTGAGCCCATATTGTGTAAACAGTCTGTCAAACGGAATAAATTCTGTTCCTTCTAATATATGTTCCAAGTATTTGATTCCTATACAACTCCAATCTGGAAAGTTAATCATATTATGTCAGGGTTGTTCCAGATAGGTGTACGTTTGTGTTACGGGTCCCAAGGATGAAGACCATGATGACAAATATGTTACCTATATAAGCAGGTGAAGAGCGGAGTAAGGAAGACAAGATGCGTCTCTGTTTTCCTCCAGAACGTGTCTGAGTCTGATTTATTTCACACAAATAAATGCTATATAAACACTAAACATGAGCTTTCAATATACCAGTCAGCTGGTTCCTCGTTCACATCAATTACATTTACTTATTTCACAACCTCAGCGAAATATACTCTCTTTACTGGTTCAGTTTCTCTAATTAACACCTTCTTTCCATAACAGTTACATTCCTTACCCATATCAATAAACACATCACATTGTCTTCTGTAGTGTCTTACTGTCTAAACAGTTATATTCAATTACAGCATCGGTAAATACATCACATTTGTTCCCCTTAGTACTTTACTGGCAAAATCACTATTCAGTGCATCACAAAACCCAGCCTGTTGAATTAACCTGTTAATGCATCTGTTAGCTACACAGAATTTCTCGGAATGCTTGTGTTACACTAGCTAACTCAGTCACTTTAACATAACTATTAACATTCACATCCTACAGAACTGATTTGATTGGAGCATTACAACCAGTTTGCAAAGCACACTGCTACACGAGCGCTTCACCTAACGCGCAGGGCTTGCGATGCGGCCGCGCGGGACATTCCTCGGGTTTCTCCCGTGTTTACATATAAGTAACCAGTGATGAGAATAACGGCGTTACAAGTAACGACGTTACTAACGGTGTTACTTTTTTCAGTAACGTGTAATCTGTCTAACAGTTCGCATACCGCCACAACAGGTCCACTGATGATGCCATAGCCCTGACACTACA